GCCCCCACCCGGTCCCCCGTGGCGCCGCCCGGAGCCGCCTCCCGGCTCTGGGCCAGGGTCCTCTAGAGCTCCATCCTGGGGTCACTGCCCTGATGCCAGGCGCCCAGACTCACCGGGAGTCCTCAGGCCCTCACTCTGTGCACCCCAGGATGTCACACTGCGCACCGAGACCCTACCTAATCTGCGCCCCCGAATTCCATCCTGTGCACCCCACCCACATCTTAATGTAGGGGCCCCCGGACTCTTCCTGCGCCTCCCAGAATGTCATCCTGGGCACCCAGACCTAACCTCATGCTGGGGCTACCAGCTCCTCAATCTAGACCCTCCAAAATGTTACTCTGTGCGCCCGGACAGTCACTGGAAATACCAAAACTTCCTTCGGGGTCCCCAGACCCTCGCCCAAGGGCGAGACGCCCCCAGGCCCAGAGCTGTTCATCTCTGTCCCCTCTCCTCTCCACCCCCAGGGCTATCTTCGGCCAGGTGGTCCCTTCACTCCAACACTGTCGAGCCCTCCGTCCTCGAGGCTAAACAGTTCGGGGGCGGGGGCTGCAGTTCCCTTTTGGCCCAGAATGAATGGAAGCCCCTGAAAAGGCGGGCAGGGCCAACGTTGGGCGTTCAAGACGCCGGGGGCCTGTGCCAGCGCCTTCCCGGCCCTCCTCCCACCAGCGTACCCCCGGGGTTTCCGCCTCCTCCCCGAGGGGAGGGAGCGCCGTCGGGGAGGAGTTGGGGCTGAGCTGCGCCCAGGAAGGGGCGGGCACCGCCCTGCCCACGTCTCGGGGCGGAGCCAGACGGGAAGGGCTGCGTGTCCAGGGATCCCCCGCCTCCGGGCAGGCGGAACCGCCGAGCCGCTTCCCACTCCCTTCCCAACCTATTGCACCACGGACCTAACGAAGCCCTGTCCGGGAGGGTGTGCCTGGGAGGGGACGTGTCTAGGAAGGGACCTTTAAGTGGGTCGCAAGGTGAGCCCTGGGTTCAGGGTGAACTGGAGAATGTCTCCCCCACCCCCAAATCCTCCCCAGCTGCTTGGGCGAGGAAGCTAAAGATAATAGCTGTTTAAATCCAAAAAGACAGATATTAACAAGTGTCGGCGAGCACATGGAGAAATTGGAGCCCTCATACAATGTGGGTGGGAAGGTAAGATGCTGGACCCGCTTTGGGAAAATTATGGCAGGTCCTCAAAATGTTACATGACCCAGCAATTTCACTCCTAGGCATATACCCAGGGGAACTGAAAACATGTTCACACACAAAAATCTGTACACCCTGTTCATAGCAACACCATTTATGAGAACGAAAATGTAGAAACAATTTAATTTCCATCGACTCACAAATGCATTAAAAAACGATGGGCCCGGCAGGGCGTGGCTCAGCAGCTAAGCATGGACCTAGGATCCAGGCGATAGGGGTTCGATTCCCGGTCAGGGCACATGCCGGGGTTGAGGGCTCCATCCCCAGTCGGGGGCGTGCAGGAGGCAGCCCATCAATGACTCTCTCATCATTGATGTTTCCACCTGTCTCTCTCCCTCTCCTTTCCTCTCTCTGAAATCAATAAAGATATATTTAAAAAATAAAAAATAAAATAATAATAAAAATATTAGCGCTTGGTATTCAAGATCTAACCATTGCCAGCATCCTCGTGTACCCTCATGCAATCCTCCTGCCCAGCCAGGGAAGGGGTGCCATTTTCACAGATGAGAGGCTGAGATTTGTCCAGGCACAGCCAGAGTGGTAAGGACAGGATTTGAACTCAAGTCCCTCTGACTCTAAGACTCTATGGACTCTAATAAAACATAAAAACAATAACAACAAACCAAAAAAGAAAAACACAAGACTCTGGGCTCTAATAAAAATAACAGCAAACCAAAAAAGAACATAACAAGACTCTACAAGGCTCCTTGCCCCACAGTAGAGCACTAAGGACCCACCATTTGAACACCTACTTAGTGCCAGCCAGGTTCCAAGGTGCTCCACAGTGTCACTCCGGTCAAAGCAATTGTCACTGCCACTTAGAGATGAGGAATGGAGGCCCAGAGGGGAATGGCTGGGTGCACAGTTGGTGTCTCAAACTTGGACCCAAACCTCCATCTTTGCACTATTAGACCTGAGTGCACCTGCCACTCAGAGCTGTCTCCTCAGAACACCTCTCGTGACCTCTGTGACCCTAACAACTTTCCCTGCCTTCATCCCTTCCACACTAGGTCACAAAGCCTCATCTCGGCTGATGTCTCTCTCCTACCAAGTCATGAGTTCCTCCGAGGCAGTCGGCCCCTGAGCCCATGGCGCAGCCTTCACCGGGTGCCAGCCACGAGCTGAAGGATTAGCACAGGTGAGTGAATGAATGAGTGAGGAAGTGGGGAAATTCATTCATTCATTCAACAAATGTTCACTGAGTGGCCACCACTGACCAGGCTCTGTGCTAGGCACCAAGGACCCAGCACTGATCAAAAAAGACTAAAATCTCCTGGCCTCGCAGGGATCACATTCAAGGGAGTTCCGGAAGGAATGGATCATTGAGAAAGGCCACCTAGCTCCACACCCCCAGTCTCTCCTCCCCCAAGTTTCCACAACCCCCACCACCACAGAGACAGATTTTATGACCCCCCCCTTTGGTGCTCACACTGGGACCTCCAGGTCTGAGGCTGACACACGGGGCCTTAGTCATAGGTCACACACAGTCCAAGACTAGCGTAGGGCATATGACTGGGATCTAGAAGCAGGGAGCCAGGTGCCCCTCTATGCATAGTCTGTCTACAGAGTTTTAATAAAGACAGCACAGCTCTTTTTCCAAATAGAAGAGTCCGTTGGCTTACTGTCAGGGGTGGGAGTGAGTGTGGTGCAGCAAAATGGGGCAAATTCCTAATAAATGAAGAAATGAAGTAGTGAGCACACTAATAAAGGAATCCCAGGATCAGAACCCTCCCCCCCCCACCACTCCCATCACTATGGCTCCCCTAGAAAGCCATTTTCTCCCCCATCTCTGGTCTTGGGCATGGGTTCCCAGCCTGGAGGCTCATAAGGGGGAGCCCCAGTCTAAGGACCCCTTCAAACCAAGGCAACAGTAACAGGGATTAACACCCCTGCCCAGCCCTTGACCTCACAGGCTTTGGCCTTGCCCTAAAATGCCAATCCTATCTTTCTGCCCCTTCATCCCAACCCAGATTGCGACAGAAATGAAGAACGAAAGGAGGCAGGAGCTGCCACTTGCTGTTTCCCGGACTTGCCCTGCCATTTGCACTTTCCTGTTTAAAAACCAGGGGGGAGGGGGCGGACCATGACAACCAATTGTTCAGTCAATACCACCCACCAAGCCTGCTCCGTGGCCAGCCACATCCTGGGCGCTGAGGACACAGGCACTGCAGACACCTCTGCTGTGGCTGGAGGGCAGATGCAAGGGGGTGCAGGCACTGCAGGGGCTCAAGGGCAGCAAGTTACATCAGAGGATGAGATCAGGGAAGGCTTCTTGGAGGTGACACTTGAATTAAGCTTTGTTGGAGGAGCAAGTTTCCCCAGCCCAGCCGGCATGGCTCAGCAGTTGAGCATCAACCTACGATCCAGGAGATCGAAGTTTGATTCTCTGTCAGGGGCACATGTCCGGGTTGTGGGCTTGATCCCCAACAGGGGGTGCGAAGGAGGCAGCTGATCAATGACTCATTGATGTTTCTGTCTCCATCTCCCTTCCTCTCTCTGAAATCAATAAAAAAAATATTTTTTTAAAAAGTATTTCCCCAGGAGGCACTGACCACCCTCTCTCCACACCAGTTGTCAGGGGCCTGTGGCTCCCATAGCCCCCTGGGCTTGACCGTCACAGTACTTATAGATTTATGACACTGCCTTCTTATGACCTGTCTCCTTAAGGACAGATCTCTGAACGCAGCACCCTAGACCGCTCGGCCATCCTGACAAGGACAGATCTCTGTATCCCAAGAATTGCCCAGAACAGGGTGGGTTGAGAGCCTCTGTTGAATAAAGAAAAAGGGGTTGTGGGGGGAGTAGGCAGGCAGAGGGCCCTGTAAAGGCAAAAGCCTGAATGCCTCTTACTTGAGGGGTCCACCTCCCCCTCCCAGTCTGGTTTCCACCTTTGTGGTTTCTCCAGCTCCGCCCTCTCAACCCCTCCAGCTTAGTATTACAGTTTCCTGTCCCCAGCACTCTGGTCTGTAGCAACATGGCAGTAATTGTCCACCTCTCCTGCCTCCTGGCCCTGTTGGTGCCAGGTCTGGCCCAAGGCATCAAGAACTCCCTAAGGGTTCAGGTAAGTGCCCAAAGCCTGCTCCCCATACCCTTCCCTCTGCAAGCCCCATGCCTGGGGCTCACCCCTTCAGAAGCAATTGCCTTGTTCCCATTTCTCAGAGGGAGCAACTGAACCTGGATGTGATTGATACGCCGAGGCTCATACTGGGAGACAGAACAGGCTAACTGGCTGATCCCCTAGCTCAGTCTGGCCTGGAAGCCCAGGTGTGGTCCCAGCAGTGACTCCTCACCTAATCCCTCCCACTCCCCCTCGGTTTCTTCCAGGACCCAGGTCGTCGGCCGCTGGAACTGAAAGAGGTCTTCACTTTGTTTCAGATCCAGTATAATCGAAGTTACTTGAACCCAGCAGGTATCACGGGACCCATACATCTCGCATCCAACCCCACTCCTCCCATTTAACCGATGAGGAAATCAAAGCGCAGGCTAGGAAATGCGCTTGGCTAAAGTCACTCAGCAGGATAGCAGTGGGGCTGGACGTGTATTCCGTTTCCTGACCGCACAAGTGGGACAGGGTCATTCTTTGCTATGAATCTAGAGGGAGATGGCAGCTATTGGGGGTCTGCCCAGTCCAAGAGGACCCTTGAGCTCCATAGCCACTTTCCTGCAACTCCTGGCAGCGGGCAGACCACCATCTAGTCACTTTTTCAGCAAACACCCAAGGATACCCATTTTGTCCCCAGGATTCCCTCTCCCCAGAGTTGCCAGCCCTGTTCCTGCCCTCTCTCTGGGCCTCCTCCCCTTTAGGGGATAATCTGTGGGTGTCTTTCAGCCCACATCATGGACCCGTACCCCATCCTCCCCCACCCATTATGCTCTAGCCCGTGCGGTCAGAGGTGTGAAGGTCAGCTCAAGGCTGAGGCAGGAAGCCTGTCTCCAACCACCCACCTTTCCCGTTTGAGTCACTCTGCCTTCAGACCCTTTACTTGGCTTCCCCCAGGTGGGCAGAGATGCCCCCTTCCTGTCTCCTGGGAAAACCCAACCCTAGGTGGGCTGGGAACCACTCCCTTGGCCCAGGTATCTGCAGAGCGGCTGCAGGAGCCACAGGAGTCAGTGCTCATCTGGGTGTGGGTGGGAGGACACCCAGCAGGTGGCCACTTCCTACTCCCATGATTTGGGAGCCAGCCTAGGAAAACCTTCTTCTGGTTCAGAGCATGCTCGCCGCCTGGATATCTTTGCCCGAAACCTGGCCCGGGCTCAGCAGCTGCAGGAGGAGGACTTGGGCACAGCCGAGTTTGGGGTGACTCCATTCAGTGACCTCACAGGTACTGGGACACCTTTGGGCCCCTAGGTGGTAGGTGGGGAAGCAGATACTGGCAGATGGACAGGGCTGACCTTTGGTATTCATTTCCAAGAAGGGCCCTGAGGACCAGGGGCCTGGGTGCTTGTCCCAAATCAACGGGAGCAGGGGCAGGTCCTCACGGAGGCCTGCGTCCCAGCTCAGCTCAAGGCTGAGGTAGCAGGGGCAGGGGAATGCGCTTCAGCAAGGAGCTGGGTCTCTCCCTATGCCTCAGCATTCTTGCGGTTGTCTCCCAGGGCATTATGGGGACTCAAATCGCCAAGGATGTGGATAGCTGGAGTGGGAGAAGCGGCGTATAGGGAGAAGGGATCAATATTGTGATCTTGGTGGCCCCATCTGTCCCTCAGAGGAGGAGTTTGACCAGCTGTATGGGAATCAGAGGACAGCTGGAAAAGCCCCCAATGTGGACAGAAAGGTAGGATCTGATGAGTGGGTGGAGTCAGTGCCCCAAACCTGTGACTGGAGGAAGAAGCCCGGTGCCATCTCGTCTGTCAAGTACCAGGTATCTGCTCCACCCAGCCTGGCGCAGTCCAGCCCCAGTGGTGGGAGGGGAAGGACAGGGAGCAAGACTCAGACCCTTCACCCAGCCCCTACCCTTTCTCCACTAGAAAAACTGCATGTGTTGCTGGGCCATGGCAGCAGCCGGCAACATCGAAGCCCACTGGAACATTAAATACAAACAGTCTGTGGAAGTCTCTGTGCAGGGTATGGCTGGGAGAGGGGGCATGTGTGCCCATGGGGGGATGGGGCCTGGGCCTTGGTCACCCACATTGTCCCTTCTTACACCAGAGCTAATTGACTGTGACCGCTGTGGGGATGGCTGCAGAGGCGGCTTCGTCTGGGACGCATTCATTACTGTTCTCAACAACAGTGAGTGCCGGCCTCGCTGGGGGACTGTGGGTGGGGGGATGTTCCAGAGCTAAGTCTCCTCTCGGCCTTCTTACTTCTAGGTGGCCTGGCTAGCGAAAAGGACTACCCATTCCAGGGGGAAGCTAGAAAGCACAAGTGCCAGGCCAAGAAGCACAAAAAGGTGGCCTGGATCCAGGATTTCATCATGCTGTCGGACAACGAGCAGAGTGAGGGCAGGGTGGA